AATGAGATTAGAGGTCAGGCTGCAGAACTCTCATGTAAAATAACTTTTTAAGGGTGTCAAACGTGAGTTAATGACTTGCACATTAAATTCTATTTTCTTTTATACTAAAATTCCGTGTGTTTATTGATTGCTGCATCTCAAGGTGGGGGGATTGGGAAAATATGGATATTTAGTGCCTATTCAGTCGGTTTGCAGTCTGCTACCTCGATGCTAGTTGGCACTAAATCCTACATACTGGACCTTTTTTAATACAGGTAAATAAAGCAGGCACTGCCAAAAAGGACCAGCACAGTAACACAGAGCCAGTTTGTGAATCATTGCGTCCTCTCCAAGTCACACATTTAATATATCTAAACCCAGACTTGCATATTGGGATGTAAAACGTGGAAAATGCTGCATAGGAGAAGATTAATATTGGTTTAATCTGTGCATTGTTATAGGGCCTTTGCTAAAGGACTGCAAACAGGACCCAGTGGAAGCTGTCGGTAAGAATGCACCACACCTCCTTTTCATGTGGTGTCTAGAACAGGTTTATGAAACATTTTTTCCTGATGTATCATTAAAACTGTCAACACCCAGTGACTTGACCTGCTGGTCAACGATTACAGTCATTGTTTATGCTGGGGTGAGGCTCACACAGTTTCATAATGTGGTTCATAAATGTTAATGTACTGCTCAGGTGATCCCTGCCTGTTTTCTTCTCATCTGAACCGCATTAACTCTCAGTTTTCAACCCAAATGGTAAATCCCTGGTTTACCTACGTATTGTTCAATATTCAGCTGTCAGACTCACTAGTCCTGTGTCTTTTGGCTTTATGTGTAAATTCATAAATTCTAAATTTAAATGCTGTCAGTAGTTTTGCTGCAACTTACAGTAACTTTTATATGCATTATAAACCAAACCTTTTCCACATTTTATTGTGTTACAGACTTTAAATTGGATGTATCTCTGAAGAGAGCTCAATTCATAACCTTACTTATAACTTCTGTGAGCAGTTGTTCTGTTATCAAGTAAATACTTCAACAATGAACAAAAACAGAACTAGCTTGTAGTCACTTTAAAATAGGTTCCTCTTGTTTCTTCTGGCCCGTTTCGGAACAATAAAGCCTTATATTTAAAAAAAAAAAAAAAAAGCAACCTACATTTACTCAGAAACGAAACTTGAGCGTGCGCAG